AGAAAAAAAAAAAAAAAAAAAGAAGAAACTGCCCAGATGACCTGACTGAAAATTATTGGATTGTATACCTGGATTATTGAGCATGGACTTTGTTGGTTAAATCAAATTAGTATTTATTTTTTGTGTGTGTGTGAACACCTGTTTTCTGTTCTTCTACTTGCAAATAAGTTTTGAAGGATCTTTGTAGGTCACTAATAGCAAATCCATCTGGAAAAACAAACATGATGATATGTGGTATCAATTGCCATTTTATTAAGTCTACAACAACAACAGCTTGCGGTTGCAGAATGGTGGCAATGAGAGCAAAAGAACGCAGACTGGCTTTAATTTAGATGAGCAATCAGTCATTTGGTACCCAACTTCTCTGCAGTCGTAGTAAACCAGGAACAAATGCAAACTGAATAATCAGCTGATATTTGACTTATTTAACCTCCAGCAAACTTGGACCACCTTACTTCCTGTTTTCAGCTGTTCCCTCTTCAGGAGTCACCACAGCGAGGTGTCCTGCTGTCCTCATACATGTCCCGTACTAGTCTAAGCAGTCCTCATACATGTTCTGCACCAGTCTGACGTACTTCGCCATGCCAGATTTCCTCATGCAATACCACATCTCCTCCCTCGGCACCCTGTATCCATCCATCCATTATCTTTACCCACTTATTCCATTTTGGGTCACGGGGGTCGCTGGTGCCCATGTCCAGCAATCACTGTGCGAGGGGCGGGGTACACCCTGGACGGGTCGCAAGTCCATCACAGGGCCACATCGAGACAAACGAGACAAACAACCATTCACTCTCTCACTCACACCTAGGGACAATTTAGAGTTACCAATCAGCCTAACATGCATGTTTTTGTCCTGTGGGAGGAAACGGGAGTACCCGGAGAAAAACTATGCATGCACTGAGAGAACATGCAGACTCCGAAAGATCTCTGGCTGGGATTCAACCTGGTGTCCTTCTCGCTGAGAGGTAGCAGCTCTACCAGCTGAGCCACCATCCCACCCTGCTATCATAATTTTTTCCTAAAAGTTTACCCGTGCACAACACCAGGGTGTGTTTCATTATTTTACTTTTTCTTAACCAGATAGACTCCAAGGAGTGTCAGTGTGGTCCATTTGCCAACAACACCTTGGTTTTGGTTGAGCCTGCAGTCCGCCATAGTCAGGAGCAGACGATTCTTCTGTTTTGTACCTAATGTTTACTTGTGCACAGCGCAAGTGGGTTCTGGACAGGTTGCTGTTAATATTACAGCAGAATTTCCAGCCAATCGTGCTTTTCTATATGTGACCTACGAGTGACGTGTACACGTTTGCCTCAGAACAACGGCCATGATTGGCTGAATAGTCCACTGTGCCTGCCCCATGAGTGAGGAAAAGAAAAAAAAGAAAAGAAGAAGAAGCAGAGCCTATCTGGAAGCGGACCCATCACTACTATAGTGCATCAATAGATTTGTTATTTTGGTTATGACGGGTGTACGATAATTTCCCTCAAAATACGATAATTTTATGTCTCTAGTGCGATAATCCTACATTTCTCACCTGGCAACACAGCCCCCCCCCCCCCCCCCCCCACACCCACACACACACATTATGCTTCTGACGTCAATGGCCACCATGCTGTTGTTCAATCCACGAACCATTGTTAGCACTGGGGGCTAAGCACCCCTAAAGGTCTGATTCTAGAATCGCCCATGGTTGACCTAATCCAAGATGGCCACCAACTGATCTTAAAAACACAACAATGGCTACATCTTGATGAGTTTTACAGATACTGAACGAAAATTTGCAATACATTTTCTGAGCGCCAACGGTGAAACATTTAGCTAACTAGTCAACTCTGACCATTAGCAAAATATCTCATTAACTGGATGGATTTTAATGGAACTTTTAGATAATAATTGATGCATCATTGCAATTAAACCTTTAAATAAAGGTTGAAAATAATTGATTATCTTAGGCAGCCAACTTGTTTCAAGATGGTCACCGGCGGCGGTCAACAGACCATATCAAACAAAACAAAAAACGTAGTTTTAGATGAGACATTCACACAAACTTCCAAGAGCTACATTGCACAGGCTTTTGAGCTTAAAACTTTAGCGTTAACTACTGGTCATTCTGGTTTGCGACTGGTCATTCTGGTTTGTCTGTTAGTAAAATATCTCCACTGGATGGATTTCTATTAACCTTTCAGAAAGTAATCAGTAGATGTGCAAGCTGTCTACTTCAAGATGGCCGCCGTTTATAGCTTTATTTGTCTAACAAGTACTTATTTTAATCTTTAGTCAGAACTTTGTGTTTGCAGTAAAATGTTGTCAAATCTGCGACGCTAAACTTTCAGCAACAGCTGTTTGTTCGAACAGCAACTTCTGACAGTCGTCGCCATTTTATTTTAAAATGAAGTCCTCCTCCTCCTCCTGCCGCCTCCTTATGAACCGCAGTGAGGTCCTGAGCCGAACGTTCTCCGGTTCACCTCCTCAGGCCACATGAAAATGGCCACGCACTTGCATTCCAACACAACCAACCAGCCCCGCCCCTCCGTCTTAAGCCTGCCCGCCCGCGCACACACATGCGCGAACCAGCACAATATCGATACTATCGTCTGCTGGTATCGATACTTCAGTTTGTTTTCCTCCTCTACTCGCAGTACATGTACAAGCTCCAATTCCCACGTGCTATGATTAAAAAAAAAGCCATGTTGTCATTTTGTTTATAAATAAATAAATACAAATACATGAAGAATTTAAATTCAAAAACATTCACTGGTTTATTTATTTTTTCTAACTTAAGCACAGTAATGTTGTGAATGTCAATTTTGTATTTGAAGTGTTTTGCTATTTTTGGCCAAAGTTTTGCTATCAAATGCTTCTAGCCATAGCATTTTGCTTTTGTAGTTTTTAGCTAGTGTTTTGCAAAGTTTAGCTACTGTGTCTTTTACCCGTTTCTAGCATACTAGAAACCTCTAGCTTTTTAACTTCCATTTTGCTAGAATTTTGATCTTCTGTTTTGTTCCCTTAAGCTTTTTTTTTATAGCTAATTTACTGCTTTTAGCTTGTGACCTGCTTCTTTTAGCTAGCACGATCTTAGCTTCTGTTTTTAGCTTTTTAATTTTTTCATTTACCCTTTATTTATACAGGTAAAGACAAGAACTCATTTTCAAGAGACCTGTTTAGGGAGCAGATGGGGGGTTAAGAGCCTTGCTCATGGGCCCAGCGTGAGGCCAATGAGGGTGGGGGCAAGTGTGCTTCACCTACCCCACCCACATTTTTGATGTTGTCTGTACCGGGGCTTGAACCGGCAATCTTCCAATCACAGGCCCACCTCTCTAACCTCTGCGCCACCACTCCCCAAGCTAGCATTTTGAACCGTTTAGCTTCTATTCTACTTTAAGTTTACATTTTGCTAGCTATATTTAGCATTTTACGTCTTTTAACTAATATTATGCTTCTTTTAGATTTCAGCTAGTGTTTTGTTATTATTAATTAGCACAGGATGAGTCCTGGATGACTGAGAATCTTCACCAGCATATTACTTTTCTATTTTTAGCTAGTGTTTGATGCTTTCAGCTTCTAGCTGGCGTTTTGCTACTTTTAACTATATCTGTCATGGTCAGGTTTTCTTTGTCATTCTCATCTCATGTGGTACATGTGGTAGAACGAAATTGTGTACACAGGGTCAATTACATCCAACAAATTGTAAAAAAAAACAACCTGTAACAAGATATAAAATATGAACTAAGAAAAACGCTAAACTAATAGGCTAAACACTTAATAGTACAAAAACAATATGCCGAACAACAGCAGCCCGACCATGAGTCTGTGTGAGCAGATGAGTATGCATGAACACAACAGCATGAAGTAAATTAGCAGCATGAGATCAGCAGCATGGATAGTCAGCAGCACATATCAACAATCTAGTGGCATTGCAGTGATTTTTTTTTTCACAGTGATAATCCTGATTAGGGAGTCTATATCAGCCTCAGGGTAGAAGCTGTTCCTCAGTCTAGTGGTTCTACACTTGATGCTCCTCAGCCTCCTGCCTGTGTGGAGCAGGGCAAAAAGTGTGTGTGCTGGGTGAGTGGGGTCCTTCATGATGCAGGTGGCCCTCTTCCTGCATCTGGAGATGTAGATGTCTGTGATGGTGGGGAGGTTGACTCCAACAGTCTTCTGTGCAGCCTTCACCACTCTCTGCAAAGCTTTTCTTTCTGCAGCCTCCATGACACACGTTGATGCTGGAGCACAGGATGCTCCATCCTTGTCATCCAGTGTTTGCTACTTTTAGCTTCTGTTGTGTTCCTTTTGGCTTCTGTTCTGCTCATTTATTCTCTGTTCTGTTTTTCTATGGCGTCTGTTTTACTGTTTCTTGCTTCTTTTAGCTAGCATTTTGAACCATTTAGCTTCTATTTTATTTTTAGTTGGTATTGTGCTACAAGAATTTTACTCATTTTAGTCGTTATGTTTCTTTTAGCTAGTGTTTTGCTACTATGAACTATGAATTTAGCTACTTTTAACTAGTGTTTGATATTTTCAGCTTCTAGCTAGCGTTGTGCTATTTTTAGCTACCTTTTTCATCCTTTTGGTTAGCATTTTGCTCCTTTTAGTTTCTGTTCTGCACTTAACTTCTATTTTGTTTATTTTAGCTTCTATTCTGCTCATTTTAGCATGTGGTCTGTTAAGTTTTAAGTTCATATAATTTCAGCTTCTTGAACAATTTCCAGCAGTCGTGCAGCACCCAGAACTCAATGCATTTTATTTATTTATTTTAGAAAAAAGCACAATTTCTCTAGTTATCTGCTTGAAACTTACCTAAAATTGGTGCTTATTTCAAAAAACACCACCCCCAAAATCAAGATAACAGCAGAAATCTGAACTGAGTAAAACACTGCTCCCACAAAGTGCCTTTAAAAGTTAAAAGTATCGGATCGATATCGCTGACACGGCAGCTGCGTTTGGCGTCGGATCGATACTACATTTCGGTATCGCACACCTCTTTTTCGTTCGAGGGAGAACTGGCGGGAGCGGTGTAACTTTCCCGGAGAGGAGAGGGCGAACCTAAGCTGCGGAGAAGCGCCACCAGACCGCCACCTAGCTGCGGACACGACTCTGGAAACACCCGCGTCCATGTGTCGGTGTTCAGCGGGGTCGTCTCGCGCTCTGATGGGAATTAAAAACTCGCTTTTCGGGGGAGTTTTCACCTCCTTCGGCCTCAGTTATGTAACCAAAGCAACATTTTAATGCGCCAGAAGGGAGAGGGAGCAGCTACACCTCCAGGCTTTGAACACAAGGCTCTCCGGGACGCGCGCTCCCCTCGCGCGGTAAGTAGCCTACGTAGCCTTATTAGAGACGGTCATGGCAGTCCTGTATTAGCGCGTGCGGGGCCCTGTCATCAGAACCGAGCACACAGCGCGCGCAGGTTCTATACGTTTATTTGTGCATCCGCTTTCTCTTTTGCGCTAATTTTATCCCCCTTGTTGCTGAGCGCGGTTCTCCCTACGTGGAGATATTTCATATTTCAATGTTGCTGACACCAGCAGGGGTGGGGGCGGGGGGGGCAGAGGACAGGTGGGGGGGGGGGGGGGTCCACAACATCACCAGATCCTACACAGCCTTTCACCTCCATGTTTCACTTTGAAGCTGTGCATGTTTTAGGACGCTTGAAGGAGTGACGACAACAACACGTGTGTGTTTGTGTGTGTGTGTGCGCGCGCGCGTGTCATTTGTTAGTGCGCCAGCATCAAGCTGGCTCTCAGGAGTTGCGCAAAGTCATGATGGAGAGAGGGACGTTCTTGTTGACGTCCTCCCCGTTACCTATACACAGTGTTCAATCAACACGCACCTACAGTGGTGCGTGCGTGTGCGTGAGAGGAGGTGGGGCCACTCATGTTGAAAGGTGGAGATTCCCAGCGTCCAGCTGTTGTCAGGCAGATGATAATGGTGCCACGGATGATGACACCCTCACCGGGTGGCGATGATGCTGGAAGCATGGGGGCGGTATTATCATGGTTTAATCGGTGCCACAGCGGGCTCAGAAGAAGCCACGCTGAGTCACAGTGTCAAGTCCACCCATCATCCTGTCACTGGAAACCGCTCCGGGTCTAATGTTAGGATAATTTGGAGTGTTGTGTATCAGAAGAGGAAGCTACGAGTGTGCTCGCTGACTGGTGTTAATGGGCTTTTTTAGGTTTGAAACCCTCCCAGTCTTCATGCTGGAACCCTTGGATGTTCCAGGGAAAGTGTCTCTTCTACTTTTCTGTTTCCAGCACTTTTTTTGTTTCGTAACTAGTTTATAAAAAGTACAAAACATACGTCAAAACATCTCAGTTGGCAAGAGTGTGCCGTAATGTTTGGTAGCAATAGGTAAAAATGTTGCAGCTCCATACTTCACAGTAAATCATTCAAAGTTTAAAGAAGTCACAGAAAGTTGGACTTTTATGTCACAGAATTGGCATTTTTATATATTTTAATGTTTTTTTTTTACACAATCCCAGTTTAAGTTTTTTATGATTTTTAAAGACTTGTCAGTTGTCACACACACTTCAGACGTGAAACCTTTCAATTCTTTTGCAAATGCTTCTAACTTTCACAATATTTTTAGTGCATGTACAAATATTAATTTAATTCAGTTTTTTCAGACACCAAGTCTCAACAGACATCGTCTCAGGGTACTGTACATTAATACACAGTAGTCCCTTGTTTATCGCTGAGGATCCGTACCATGAAGCCCCGCGATAAGTGACAAACTGAACCGAAGTAGGAATAGTAGTACATATAGTAGTTTATTTTAGTGTATATATATTTATGTATGTATGTATGTATGTATGTATGTATGTATGTATGTATGTATGTATGTATGTATGTATACAGGTCCTTCTCAAAAAATTAGCATATTGTGATAAAGGTCATTATTTTCCATAATGTAATGATAAAAATGAAACTTTCCTATATTTCAGATTCATTGCACACCAACTGAAATATTTCAGGTCTTTAATTGTTTTAATACTGATGATTATGGCATACAGCTCATAAAAACCCAAAATGCCTGTCCCAAAAAATTAGCATATCATGAAAAGGTTCTCTCAACAAGCTATTAACCTAACCATCTGAATCAATGACGTAACTCTAAACACCTGCAAAAGATTCCTGAGGCTTTTAAAAACTCCCGGCCTTGTTCATTACTCAAAAACGCAATCATGGGTAAGACTGCCGACCTGACTGCTGTCCAGAAGGCCATCATTGACACCCTCAAGCAAGAGGGTAAGACACAGAAAGAAATTGCTGAACGAATAGGCTGTTCCCAGAGTGCTGTATCAAGGCACCTCAGTGGGAAGTCAGTGGGAAGGGAAAAGTGTGGCAGAAAACGCTGCACAACGAGAAGAGGTGACCGGACCCAGAGGAGGATTGTGGAGAAGGGCCGATTCCAGACCTTGGGGGACCTGCGGAAGCAGTGGACTGAGTCTGGAGTAGAAACATCCAGAGCCACCGTGCACAGGCGTGTGCAGGAAATGGGCTACAGGTGCTGCATTCCCCAGGTCAAGCCACTTTTGAACCAGAAACAGCGGCAGAAGCGCCTGACCTGGGCTACAGAGAAGCAGCACTGGACTGTTGCTCAGTGGTCCAAAGTACTTTTTTCGGATGAAAGCAAATTTTGCATGTCATTCGGAAATCAAGGTGCCAGAGTCTGGAGGAAGACTGGGGAGAAGGAAATGCCAAAATGCCAGAAGTCCAGTGTGAAGCACCCACAATGAGTGATGGTCTGGGGTGTCATGTCATCTGCTGGTGTTGGTCCACTGTGTTTTATCAAGGGCAGGGTCAATGCAGCTAGCTATCAGGAGATTTTGGAGCACTTCATGCTTCCATCTGCTGAAAAGCTTTATGGAGATGAAGATTTCATTTTTCAGCAAGACCTGGCACCTGCTCACAGTGCCAAAACCACTGGTAAATGGTTTACTGACCATGGTATTACTGTGCTCAATTGGCCTGCCAACTCTCCTGACCTGAACCCCATAGAGAACCTGTGGGATATTGTGAAGAGAAAGTTGAGAGACGCAAGACCCAACACTCTGGATGAGCTTAAGGCCGCTATCGAAGCATCCTGGGCCTCCATAACACCTCAGCAGTGCCACAGGCTGATTGCCTCCATGCCACGC